TCGAAGTACAGCAGGAGCCCTAATGAAAGTTCCTAATGTTTTTTTTTTATTTACTTATTTTATTACTTATGAATTTTTTTTTTTGGCTAAGAACTAAAAAGACTGAATTACTTATTGATATTGTTTGTTTGTATACCCAGGAGTGGACATTTTTTTATTAAAATATACTTCCTACAAATATAAATGTTCTTATGATTATTTACTTTTTTATATATATTAATATGGCCCATGGGCATTTAGATCCATATCATCTTGGAATAACAAAGATCCTTCATTTACGAAGTAATCAGCAAGTTTGTCACGTAGGTGGAACGCGCTAGCAGGGCCTCTCCGTATTGCAGATCTCAGGGATTGTAAGGTACATGTATTACTTATTTCACGACGCCAATCTCCAGGGTAGACGACGTTGTCTGCTTCTACATGGTCAACATAATTGTCTGGACAATACCATCGGTCGTAATCGTTTAGCATAATAAAATTGTGTAAGGCTATGCAAGCCAGCACAATTTTTTCGCAGTTTGTAGGATTGCATTCAATTGTATTTCTTAGAATCCTCCATCGGGCCGTTAATATACCGAAGCTATTTTCTATCACTCTACGTGCTCGTGATAGGCGGTAATTAAAAATTCGCTTGGTTCTTGGCAAACTCGATCCAGGGTATGGGCGCATTAAATTAGTCCTTAACGGAAAGGCAGCATCTCCTACAAAAAAATGGGGAAAACGTTCAGTTGACCCAATGGACAATGGTTTAGGTGGCGGCAAGGGAAGAGTATTATCCATTAGTGCTTGTCCAAACGGGGACACTTGAAATATTCCTGAGAATACAAAAAATATGCTAATAAAAGTCTATATTTCATTAGTTTACTCTATAGCTTATACCTCCGTCGCTATGACTGCCATAACTTCCGATGCTCACCGCTGTAAAAGTGTATTTAGCATCACATACTGCCATCAAAACAATGCTAAAGAACTTTTTGTAATTGAAGAACATTGAATTTGCATTGGGTGGACACTTAATAGCAATGTGTTTTCCATCAATTGCGCCAACGCAATTCGGTATATTCCACATATTAAAAAAATCGTCAGCAATATCTTTATATTGAGATTCAGTAGGTTCGCTCATGTATATGGGCGAAAGTATTTGCCATATCACCTCACACGTTTCCAGAATTATATTTCGCACTGTCGTTATACCTAATTTGTAACTCCACGCAATACTCTTCATGGATGCTCCTTGTGATAAGTATCTACAAATTAAACCTCTAATAAGTATCAATTTTTTCAGCATTTACTTCGATCATATTTACTTACAACAACACCAAAGAGAGCCTTTCCTCAGGATCAATCCGCTGCCTTGGTTTCCGCAAGGACTTGCTGACTAGTTTTAGCAATAGCTCAAAAACATTCGGCGGCATTCTTGTGTGAGAAAATAACTGATCCGGTTCCAGGGTTTTCATTTGCTTGAATACCTGGAGTTGGTATCCTCCGGTGGACCAGTTTCGATTAATGGGGCGAATTTTATACTTCCTCAGTCCTTTTCTTGATTTATATTCTTCATATTCTTCATATAGTTTATATAATTCACATAAATTTAAAAACAATGTCTCGATGTTTCTATCTGCGTCCATTTTCTTACTATTGTTGCTTGTAAATGATTAGTGTATACATATGCATGTATGTATATCAGCATCCGAAAACAGCTGATTTCTGCGTATTCACTGCGGGCTCCAGTAATCGACAAAATTTCTGCGTATACAGACTGCGTTTAAGTATAAGTTCTGCGTTCTGGACTAATTTCAGCTTCACGGGGCGTCGTCGCAGACACTGTGCGCATTGGGATTGTCCTGTCGTTCAGAGTGTTTTTGCGACATGTGTCCTGCCACACATCAACAAGCATACACACATAAACGTACGAATTCAACGGTAAGTGAGGAATTCCTAAACTCTCGTTTCAAACAAGTGGCATCCCCGTCGACCGTTTCGAAGCCATGCGCCGGTTTTTCCACTTCGCTTTTAACTCCAAGCATATACAGGTTAACTGGCTTCCGAGGACAGACAGACGGTTGTATAGGCAGGACTGAAAATTTGTTTTTGTACGAACTCAAACACATACGCACATACAATGTGTGCCACAAACGTGGCACGAAGTTCGACACGCAGTGAAGCAACCAGCAAAGCATATTTATGAAAGGGAATGAGAAAAATACCAAAAACCAATTGAGTTGGGCATTCGAGTTCATGATCCTACTACGTACATATGTATGTATGTATGCGGCGTTTGGTTAATTTTGTGTTTATAATTTTCCATGTCCTTTTTATGCTACGCCATCTGTTTGTTGTTGGTGTTGCTTTTGTTTTCGTTATGCTTTTACAGTGTTTTGTATGTCAAAACATATGCGACAAGTGGCCAATATTGTGACCCCAAAATTTTACAGTCTACAAGTGTTGGAGTGTATGCATTTATGTATGTTTGTATGTACATATGTATAGCACGTCCCTTAATTGTCCACAAAAGGATATCAAAACTCATTATAGCGTACATTGTGGTCACAGTGGTTAATAAATGAAATTAGCAGCTTGTCGGAAATGTTTTTTTTTTTTTTGTAATTGTAAAGGTTACCGTTATACTTTTTAATTTAAATTAGATTTGATGTTGTTGTAAGAGAGCTTCTTTACTGTTGAGGGACTTTTCCTATTGCTGCGTTTTCTTAGAGCAGTGTTGGCCACCGAAAGGTTTCATTTTTTTATGCTTTGGCACGCGTGCATATGAAGTGGCCGACTATACCTTAAAGCATTCCCACCTAGCTTTCGAGTTCATTCTTTGAGATGCTCTGTCGAAGTCACAGCAGATCTTACTACATATCTGGCAAGGGCAAAGCGATGTGGACTAGGCGTGCAGTCCTTTGAACCATTCTAAACTGCAAATTTAATATTAAAAAAATAAAAGTTGTGTAAAGGAAAAAAAATTAAATAAGTTTCTACAAATTAATGCAACTAAAAAATATATTTTTCTTTTTAAAACAATAAAACTGAAAATCAAATCAAAGAAAAAGATAATTAAAAAACAGGAATGAATGAAAAAAATAAATAAAATCTAAACTTAAAAAAAAATAATAAAACAAAGAAAATTAAAAAGAAAAGAAAAAATAAGGAGTTTCTAAAAATGAAATTAATTTAAATAAATATTTCTCTTTTTAAAACAATAAAGTCTCAAAATTAAAGAATTTCTACATACAAAAAAACGATAAAATAACACAAACTCCTAAAACTTAAAGGAAATTAAAAAAAAACTTCTTTTTGGTTGTTTGTGTTTCCGACAGGGTAGGAGTGTGATGTATTGTGGAACGATTTTCCGTCATCCCTTGTCAAACCGAAACCGGTTTGTCTCCAAACCAAATTTGACAAGGGATGACGGAAAATCGTTCCACAATACATTAAAAAAAACTATTATTTTGAAATCTATAAAACCTAAACATTTTAAGAAAATTGTATTCTAAAAAAAGAAAATGAATTATAAAGAAAAAAAGTAAAAAAGTTCCTAAAAATAAAATATT